GTTGTTTGCTTCCTTGTAATACTCACAAGAAGCAGGTGCAGTCCACCTTAAATGCTGGTGACTGAAGGAGATCTATAATCATTGATGGAACTACTGGAGCTGGAAAGGTTCTGGACAGGTCATCTAGGTCATCTCTGTACCTGAAGGCAAGATAACTTAATGAAAACCATTCTTGACTGGTACTAGTTCTTCTGTGTCTGCCTTATTGGTGGTTTCACATGCTTCCTGAGTAATTATTCTATTGCTTATCTGTCTTTTGTATTAAAAAGTGGTTTTAGCTGAAAACGTGTAAGCTCATTTTAAACTCATTACTTCTTTTGCCATTCCCAGAAGAGTTAATTACCTTTTCTGCAACAGCATTTTACATATTTGAAGACTATTATCACGTCTCCCCTTGGTTTTCCTTAGTTTAGACTAAATAAACCCAATTTTTCAATCTTTCCTAACATGTCATGTATTTTTAGATCTTCATCATTCTTGTTTTTCTCTTATGATCTGCTTCAGCTGATCCAGTATTTTTTGAAGGGTGTTGCCCAAAGCTGGATTTGCAGCTCCACAGAGCCTTGCGAGAGCTGAATAGGAACATTTGAATTTATGGCCAAATGGAAACTCGCAAAGTCCAACTGTAACGTCAGGGGAGATGACTTCTTGTGATCACATGCAAGCTCAAATTCCATTCATATAACTATACTTCCCTCAACATGCTGTCAACAATCCTTTTCAAACGCAACACATAACTAAGTGCTTAGCTTAGGTGGAAAGTAGCATTTCAAAATCTCTCCATATTCATGTATTCTTTTTTCTCTTATTTCTTTGTGTTCTTCAGACTTTTCTGGTTTAGGGCTAGCTGACATTAGAATACATTTCATTATACATCATACATCTCCTAGCCCATTATATACTTTTGTGCAGTTAAGTACATTATGTCAAGTCTAGACTTGCTTCAAAACCTTTGGGATAAGATGAAATCAGAGGGAGGACTCCTCTACTGTTTATACCAGTCTTGCTCTTCTTCTGTTTGCACTGTAAAAAATGAGCCACAGAAATCCAGCACCACCGTTGATCTCTTTTGGATGGTGTTCTCTGGTCTGGTATGTTCTTCAGACTCAAAACTGCATCACTGAAATCGGTGCAACCAAAGAGCTTGAGGCTTTTTGGTATATGGATTTTGTATACTGTGTGATGCAGAGGGAACTTACAGGCAGAGAAAAAACACAGTGGCAGAGGTGAACTAGTTCTCCCAGTTACAGACAAGAAATAGAGTATTTAGCGCCAATTAAGACTTTGATCCTGAAATACAAGGGCTGTGCAGAGAATTACCTCTGTCACTTTTTCTTGCATAACTTGTAATTCACAGGCTTTGAGATAATTTGGAGAACTGCATCTCTAGCAAAGAACTGTTCAAACTCATGCAAACTCAGTAATTTGTTCCATGTTTAAGGAATAATTGTCCTCTAGTAACAGTTTATAGCAGGTAAATGATAGGCTTGTGGGATATAAGAATGAAAGGTTCACACAAACTGTTTTCTTTGAAGGATAAAATTTGAACAGTAAAAGATTTGATTGCCCCTTAACTTCTTTTCTGGTGTAGCATTCCTAATTTAGTAGTCCTTTTTCTTTCCTGTGGCAAATGATGTTATAAATGTTGATAATAATGCATAGTTGGTAGATGAGTATCGATACTGTCCTTACGGGGTTAACAAAGGAGAGATGTGCTCTTCCTTCTCTCTGACACCTTTTTTTGTGGGGTTGTATTTTACTTTTTCAGTACTTCCAAGTTAATAGGGCATCTTGCAAAGTAGACCTCATATTTGTAAGTGTAATAAAATATAGCTCTTTGACCCACAGTTTCCCTCGATGTATTTTTATACTTCTTAAATATGAATTCAGTGTTTATGAAAAAGTCTGAAATCTTAGCCTTGGAATCTGAAAGAGAACAGAAGTGCTCAGGCTGTTTCAGGTCTCAGGCTAATATTGGCGTTCCTTAACTGTACTGAAACGGGCTACTTCCATGAGGGAAAAGCAGTCTCAGTTTTTAAACCCAGTCTAGTCTATTGCTTTTTCTTCAAATGGCCAACAAGGGTGCCAAATGGTCCTTGGAAGATTTTGGATCGAAAACCTGTTGATCTTAGGGTAATGAGCTAAATTCATGTTTTAGCCATCCAAAATTCAGATTGCAAGCTTGCCTAGTGGTCACTTCCAGAATAAGAAATATTCTCCTGTTTGTGACCATAGCTACAAATGTTGTTTCAATGTAACAACAGATACAAGTAGGACCTTCAGAAGTTGCCTGATGTCTGAAATCACTTGTTGCCAGAGGAATCTAATGTGCACTCAAATATGCTGCATTTGCACTTTCTGCAGTCTGAAATGTACATAGCCATTGCAGGTCAATTAACCGTGAAGGAGGCTAAAGGTTTGAATTTACCAGTAAGGAATGGTGATTAGCAAATCTCATTGTTAGCTCACTTAGTTAGAATACATTAAAGAGTGTGATACTTAAGGGTTACACACGGAGGACTTTCTGAAAATGACAAGGAAAAAATTATAGGGGTTTTTTGTTGTTGGGGGTTTTTTTGCTAGACATCTGGCACTTCAGATGACATCACCTCTTTCAGAAGCATTTTCTGGATAAGTGGTAAATGGTTGACTTCATTTATATTGTGGTCTGGTTGTGATGAATAGAAACTAAAGCTACTGAAAAAATATTTAGTTTGCTTTCTTGCTTTGAAATACCAAAGAATAAAGGTAAGCAACAGAAAGGAAATCTTAAACTGCAGATGAGCTCCCTAGATTTTACAGGAAAATTTTCAGAGAGATTTTCAGTGGGTCTTTTGCCACATTGGATTCCCTGTTGTCTTCACTTATAAGACTCATACTGTCTGTATTTTGTGTGATTTCATGTAGTAAATACTCTGCAGGATTTTGATACCTAGAAATTAATAATCAATCACAGCTGCATGTGTTTCTCTTCAGCCTTTTAAACAAAAAAGAGGTTATTCTTTTTTCCTCTTTGATTTTTCTTTAAAATGTGCAGTGTTGTAGCTGGAGACAATAGGGTGCAAAAAATGCCATCAGATCTTCAGAGGTATTTATGGGCTAGTTGAACAGTTAAAACTACTTTGCTTTCTAGCATGGTGCTTGTATCTTTCCCTTACCTACAGCCAGCAGATATGATGGCCTGTGATAAGTATCTGAAGAACTGCTTTCACAACTTGGTGTTTTGTGGATACTTGCATAGAAAATAATGTAAATTAATTTGTTCCTAGCATTAAATTTACTTCCTGTTTACTGTACAGCTGAAATGCTCATCGTCCCCTGGAAGCGTGAAAGGTGGTTAAACAGAAATCTTAGAGAGCACTGCAGCAGCTACATTGCCCTGACATCTCCAGGCTCTTCCTTTAGTCCCCTGCTTCCTAGTGCTTTCCACCACCTCCTGTTAGGCATTGACATAGCAGCATCGGTAGGAAAGCTACATCTCTTTGTTCCTGGTACTGTTTTGCGTGGCTTTAATGTTAGAAAAACCCGTAATTTCTAGCCTAGCCTGTGTGAATTCCGCTAGGAAGAGCCCAGACAGAAGACGCCTTTGCGTGCAGAGATTTCAAGGCCAGGAGACATCGTTGTGACCGTCCCATCTTGACCTCATGAACGTAGCTCCCTGGTTTACGCTAGAACAGGATTGCTGGAGTTGGCACAGCTCCAGAGTTAAGCCTCTTTCTACAGCTAACTTGAGCACCTACCTCACGCCCAAAGTTGTCTGGCCTCAGGCTGGCTCCAGAGCTGAAGGAGACCTGTCTCTCCCCATGGTGCTGGGTGCCGACTTGGGCAGCGCACCCTCTTCCAGGTGGGTTCGTGGGGGTGCTTTGGTGTCCACCCACAAATCTTGGTGGTGTCTCAAGCCCTCTTGCCTCTGCCCAAGCACCTCGGCCTGCTTTTTGTAATGTCTGAGCTGCAGCCCATGTGTCCTTATGTAGTGCCTCATGGTACCTAGGTTCTTGATGTTCTTGATAATAACATATTCTATTATCTATTGTTGTTTGGATAAGTGGTAAAAGGTGGCCACTTAGAAGACTACATGTGATAGCACTTTCTTTATCAAGGCATGTCTTCTTTTTGTTGAATCTTGCAGTTCAGATTTACATTGAGTACAATTTCTATAACATGAGGTGCAAACAATACATGTTCAAATTAGGGAAATGTCTGCTTCATATACACACAATGGTAGTTTTCTAAGCAATCTGACTGAACTTCATTAGGAGAGAATTTAATGTACTAGAAAGTAGTATTTGTATGTAAAATTCCCAATCCTTTCCTGCATTCACTGACATGAAATTGATAATGCTTAGATAATACAAAACCAAACCTTCTGTATCAGGCAAAATTTTTATTTATAATCTTTCAGTCTTTCAGTCATTCCTAAAATGCTTCTCAGAAAAATTTTATCCTAAAACAATTATTACCAGTTTTCACTGTAAATGGCTCTTTTGTTACTGAATTCCAGAACAGCATATATTATAAATTAACCTGTTTTGAGAGAAACATGGTAGCTAGATGAAGTATGAATAAATATAGGTATTATATAGGTGTGACTATATACATATAAAACATACTGCATTTTATATATAATTATATAAATTTATGTAGAATAGGTATAATACATAAAAATAATTATTATTTGCATTATCAGCATAAAATAGACATAGTTAAGTATTTTTAATTATGTGATATTATTATATTGTCCCCAGAAATTAAGAGGCTGAGAACTGGCTAACTGAAGAAAGTTGTGAAGCTATGGATTTTGTATTTCATATTGAAGACACTAAGAGTGCATAAGGTTGAGACATGAAAGAGTATTAATACAGTACATAAATAATTGTCATATTCATGTATGCAAATATCAAACAGAAAATTCTTCAGTAATGCAGAGTGGGTTTCTGCAATATTTTAAACATTATTATGGGTTAGATGTAATTATAATATTTTCATTAACTGTATTTTAGATATCTGATATCCATGTTACTGGAGAGTCAGAGGACATGTCTGCTAAAGAGAGACTGCTCCTATGGTCGCAGCAGACAACCGAGGGTTATGCTGGAATACGTTGTGAAAATTTCACTACCTGCTGGCGTGATGGAAGATTATTTAATGCCATCATTCATAAATACAGGTAAGTAGTCCATTTGTTCTCTTGGAAAATGTTAATTACGGCATTTTAATGTGCATAGGGAGATGGCTCTGTGGTTTATGCCTGTAATAGCAGTGCAGCAGTGGAGATGACAGTGTCTCTTCCTGGGCAATTCCCTGCTCTTTGCAGCCAAAGCATTCCTCATTAGCCCTTACATATTCCTCCTTCCTCAGAAGGGCATCTCCATGGATCCTGCACCTCCAAGCTGCTGAGGAGAATGTCACGGGGTTGAGTCTTCTCCACAGTCCCTTTTTGTCATACTGACATTTAAGTGTAGGCAGGGTAGTGGCAGAACTGATCACCAAAGTCCAAAACTGCACTGCTGGTGAAAGCCGTCGCCTGCTGCGTGACCTGAGATATGCCTGAGATCCCCATATTCTTCCCTGTATGACTTTACCATGGCCCTGGAGCCTCAAGCTTCCTCGCTTGGAGCCCAGATCTACTCTGAAATGTGTCTCCTGTAAAATGGCAGGTTATTCTCATGGAAAATGGGGCCAGCTGGCTTGAACGTTCTCAGTCTTAGAAGGCAATTGTGCTACTGTATGCTTTTGTGACCACACTCTTACAAAGTTAAACAGGCATTGGTAGATCTACTGGTGGCTGTGGCTAGAAGCTAAAGGATACAGTATGTTAACTTGAAATACAGTTGAAGATGTCTACTGACAAGAGAGGATTTCTAATTCTGGATTCTAAGTGAGAAGAGATCTGTCTTGATAAAGCTGACTTTGGCATCAAAGCTCATCATGGGAACAAGATTTAAGGTCACTGCTGTGTTCAGTGTTCCCTCTTGGTTGGCGGCATCTCTCTGGTACATTTTTTGGTGCCTGAATTGAATAAGGAGTTTTGTGTCTTAGAGGACCATATGGGAGAGTATTCTGGCCACTGGGCTAATTAGTGTGTACTGACTTGTCCCTCACTCTGCAAGGCTTGCAACTTTCTGGGGTTTATTATAGCACGTGTGGTTTATGCTGTATGCCCTGGGGCACATCATAAGGAAATTTGAGGGTACATGACTTCCTTGGTGTAATATCAGTGGAGTGTCCCAGGTAGAGAGAGACAAATTTGGTATGTTTTAATGCAGCGCCAGGGAACAGACCCTGAGCAGATTATTCCATTCTTGTATTTCCTCTTGTGGGACCATTTGGCTCACCACAGAAGGAAGCCTAGGCAGAGCCAATATGCGTGTGGTACAGGAACTAGGACACTGAAGTAAAACGGGAGATGAGTCATGCAGATGCAGCCTTTTCCTCACACGCTGTGTAGAGAGGCTGTAAGCACAAAATACAGTGCTCTGAGTCCTAGAGAAGTTAGCTGTGACAGTGCATAACTTCATGGTAAGATAAAGCTGCATCTGAATCAATGAGGTCTTTTTCTCACTATGCTTCTGTTCTGGGTAGCCAGTCAGGGAGGAGGTGCATGCCAGCAAGAAAGTCTTCTTTTAGTAACATTGGCAAGACAAAGGGAATTAGCTGGCAAAAGACTAGGCTGTTTTACTTCAGGACAGAGCAGCCGAAAGAATGAACATAGCACAGGCAAGTATTTGAAAAAATAAATAATTTGAAAGATACAGGGAAAGGGGAAGGTAAAAAAGGAAGGAGCTTAATGAGATGGAATAATGGAAAATATTTCCCAGAGCTTCTTCGGAGCCTTATTACCACTTACATAGAGCAGTGTAGCCTATACAGATCAGTTAATAAATAATGAAAAACTTGAATTCCATCCTCTAGCTGTGAGAATGTTAATGTCTTGGGACATGACTGAGTACCTGTAGTTGATTTGCTAGAGCAGTGTTTCTGGTAGTGCTCTGAGTTTCATTCACAGTGTTTCAGCAGGGAAGCACAGGCACCTTGGACACCAGTGCATTGCACAAAGCAGATGATTCAGTGGCTGAGGAGCAGAGTCCACATTTTGAGTGCTTCTGTGCCAGTTTCCATTTAGCTTATCCTCTTCTTGTAAACATAACTTCATCTAAGGATCCTGTGTCCTTCCCAGGAATGTTTACTGTCCTTATCTGATGTCTTTTTGCTGTGAGAGGTTACAGATTCTCAGACATCGTCTTGCTGATTAAATCAGTGAGATTCTTCCACTGGCTTCAGTGAGCTTCTATTTTTCTTTCCTTTGTCATTTTGTACCATTAAAAGAGAGATAGTAATTTCCAGCAATTGCTCACAAGATAGGAATGGTCTCCCCAAACAGTCGTCTGATATTTTTAAGTACAGTGTTTTACTCCAGAGAGCTCTTTTAAAGCTCGGTTTGTGTTCTGAGCAGTATGTAGGTTAAACGGTAACAAAACATGCACATTTCTGGCAGTGATTCTCCATATGCTCTGTCTGTTTTAGTAGCTCCCAGTTTGTGGATCACTGGTGGTCTCATGAGCTACTAGGCTGAGCGCCCTGCAGATGCTGCCGGCTGGGGTGCTCCACCAGGGTGGATGACCAGATGTGCCTGCTTGGGGGGTGGGATGGGACTGTGGGGCTGCCACCGTGGAGCACCCCCATGGGTGCACGTCTGTCAGTCGTGGTGCGGTGTGGCAGCCCCTCCTGTGCCAGGTATGCTGTGCTCACTGGAGATTACCTCTGCTTACAGAAGCACCATGCACCCTGGGCCAGGAGGAGTATCTGCTCTCTGTGAGTGGGGATGGGGGCTTTGCAGCAGGGATGTGACTTCCAGTCCCAGAAGTGATTTAAATGGGCCCAGACCTAATTTTAAGGGGATGACGTTTAGTGCTATGACAGTAATAACCGGAAGGCTCAGAAACACCCAGGTGTGTTAATGGTATCTAGAATTGCAGTTATACTGAGCGACAGTAAGCTGTACATTGGATGGAGAGCACATGCTTACCCATGTCAGGGCACAGAGGTGGGGGGTCTCCATGGAGGCTCTGCCAGGGCAGGGCCTGGCAGCCAGGGCCCGTCCCACCGCCCCAGCCAGGAGCAGGGTGGCTGGGGGGGACCAGGGCAGCCCCAGCCCCAGGAATCGGGTGCCCCCCTGGGCACGGGCTGAGGCTGGGCCTGGGATGTGGGCCCACAGGTGTAGGCTGCACCACTGCAGGGGCCATAGTTCAGCTGGGGGCCAGAGGCAAGAGCTCCAGCAGCTCCCGGAGGACAGGAGCCACGCTGTCCCTGAGCTAAAGCTGAGCAGAGACAGGCAAAACCCCATGCTCACAGCCCTGACGCCATGGCTGAGAGGCCTTTCCTGGATGTGCCATCAAGAACATAAGCCATACAGGTCCAGCAGGATCCCTACAGTCGGTCAGCTGGGAGACAGGGAGATGTCACTGTCCAGTTCGAGGTGACAGGACCGGAGTGGCAGGCTATAATTACATCCTTTCCAGGCATAAGCAATTTCTTAAATTGCAAGTACGCACCAGCTTCGAGACTTGAGGAAATTGCTGAAGCTGTGGAGGGCTGGGCGAGGAGCTGGGCTGTGAATCAGTCACCAGTGGGCAGGGAGCCTCTCCCTTCAGCGGGGCTGACAGCCCAACCTGCTTTAACAGCAGGTGAGGATTGTTTCATCTGGGCTGCTGGTAGTGGTCTCCATTTTTTTTTTTTTTCTTCTGTCCTGGCAGAGGATCCCAGCACCTTTTGGTGCAAGCCAGCTAAGATTTATGATGCAGAAATGCAGGAATACTGCATGAATTTGCCGTGGCTCGCTGCTCCCCCCAAGGTGCATGGGAGAAGCGGGATAAGGCCAACCTGTGCCTGGCATGACTAGCTGTAGTACCCACTGCAGCATTTTGGCAGAGATCAGCAGGCCAGTGTGTGGCAGCTGGGTGAGCCAGGTTCCTCCCTGTCTCCCTGCCCTGCCTGCACCCACAGATGTGCTGGCAGCACTCCGCTTCCAACACCAAGCTTGGGGACGCAGGCAGCGTGCGGGCGCCAGATCACATGCGTACAGATTAGTCAACTGCTCTCCTGAGCAAATGCAGTATATTTGTTTTCTTCCCTCAAGCAACAAGGGTTAGGTTGTCAGAGCTTTCCGTAAGGGCCTTCAGGCACTTTTTCTCTTAACTCTTTTAAGAGTATGAATGAGTTTGCAGTGATTTTTTGCGGTGTTCTTTAAATAAAGGGAAGTTATTTTATGAATGACAGAAATGAGAGGAAAAAATTACTCTGAGGTGTTTGACTCCATATACAACAAATATTTTTTCCCTCCAAATTTAGGAAAATGTAATTTGTTTTTGCCTGAGAAAGTTGCTTATGTTTTCAGCAGGTTCCAGCCGTCTGTATTTATAATTGAAGATTACTCGGCTGAACTTCTGAAGAGTATATAAAGCTTCCAATGTAAAACATCCTGTACATGATTAAATTCCTGGGAAAGGAATGGGGCTCCACACCGGCCTCAAGAACTGCCTTAGGGAGCTCCATTGCAGACCCTGGCTTTTGCTTTTCATGCTGTTACTCTGTGTGAATATTTGTTTTAACATAGAAAACCAGATAAAACGATCACATTAAAAAGTCTGTTTTAATACTGAACTTGACCACTTTTGTAATTGTATGATTTTATTTAAATATATCAGCTTTCAAACTTTTTTGAACCTCCACACCTTTCTTTGGATCTGTGATCAGGCCATTTGTAAGGCTACAGATATGCCTAGGAGATTCAAGAAAATTCTGTATGTCTCATCTATTATGTAATTGGCCTTTTATAGCTTAATTTTTCATTGAAGGTGTGTGTTACTTGCTTCATTGTGTTGTGTTGGAAGAAATCTGACTTCAGGCAGTTTAAAAAGTACACGATGTTTCCTTCATACCATCGTATCATACGCAGCAAAAACCTGTAAGCCAGACTTCAAAGTTGGAGGCTGACTTTAGTCAGCATGTAATACCCAGATTTTCCCGGAGATACTGCTGTCTACACACTGGGGTCTTCATCTTGTGGCTCTATGGTGTATTTCTAGTCACTAAGACTGTGCTTTAGGTAAATGCTCTTGATTTGTGTTTTCTTTTTCTTATGTACATAACTTTTGCCCTGAAGAAGAA